TCGGGTGAGACCGGAGTGGAGAGAAAGGAGTCCGAAGAGTCCGTCGAGCGTAGAAGGCCTTGGTGGAAAAGGTTGTTTTGCTGCTGGAAGACATAAACCTCTTCTCTGGCCAGGCCTTCTTGCGTAGATTTCGACTTTTCACAGAATACAACATCGCCACTCGGAAGTGACCTTTCACCCGAATATGACACTCACCAGGAATTGACCCTTCACCGGCTACGACTTAATCGACTGGACTTGACTTTTCATCCCAATTTACGGACGAATACTTCGACACCATTCGAGATTCGGTTATAGTGCATAGAACAACGACAGTAACAACGAAACATCAAGCAGTGTTCTCGTGTTTAATTAAAGGCTGTTTAAACGACTATAACTAGCCAAAACAACTTAAATTCTACAGACATTTACACTATATTTCATCCGGTGTTCTACTGCTAAAAACTTTTACCACGAAATAACGAATATTCGCCACTAAAAGGCATACCAGACGAAGACCATTTCAACATTGAATTTAAATACAGTAAACCAACAAATACACGAACTCTGTTTGTGTACTCCAAAATCTTAATTACTTCAACAATTAAATTTGTACATGGAATTTTCACGATTGTACATAAATTTTTATATTAAATAAAAGTAATTAAATTTTATATGAAATGTTTACAGATTCGATATTTATTAAAGTTGCGCATTTTTTGATGAATTTATAATTAATAATAATGCTTATAATGACGAAAACAGGAAAAATGTACCCGATTCATAACGAAACAAAAATATTTAAATTTAATGAGCCAAATATAATTTGAAACAGTTGGAATTTTGTATTAAAACAATGGTATAAAAACTGAAATCACATTATATTTTATTTCATAAAAATAAAAGACAAGTTTTACAAGTTTAATGTATATAAATTTTCACTAAATATTCAGTCCCAAGGACCCTTATATATTTTAATACCTTTCCAAGTGGGGCTATACCGCATTAATTCCGAATCTGAAGGAGAAGGTGCGGTTGGTAATATGGGTGGAGGAATTTCCGCCGGAGGTGGCGGAAGAACCGACGTCACTAACCGATCGTAAAGATGCCCTCGGACGTAAAGTTCGGGTTTGATCAAGCAACATAGAACCAATCCAACAAATACCATTACGGAACCTACAGTAAGGAAGACGATGGATACAACCATGTGCACTTCTAATGCCATGTTGATCTTTCTGGAAATAAATAAATAACCTAAATATACTACATTTAAAACAGAATAGAAAAATATCATATAAAATTCAAGTGTTTTTCTATACGCAATAGTTGGATAAGGCAATGATCTACTAATGGGTATTGCATGCCAGGACTTTCTATAAGAAACTAGCCTCTATTTTGGTATTAGACAAGTGAAGAAAACACTGAAAACTCTACGTAGATTGCCCTTTGATGAGGTATAAACACGCTACCGGATCAAAAAGTTCGAGGAGGAATTTTTAACATCTCTTACATGCTGGCATCTGCCTCAAAATATAGATCGATTGCATCGTGGTCCTCCTCAGATTTTATTTTATCCCGAAGTGTAATTGAAAATTAATTGTAAAATGACTTTTATACTATGTTTCAGTTTGTTAAGCAACACTTGGGCGATCTGCCTATGTGGGATGCCTTCCGGGAGGTCTTTTTTTAACAATTTAAGTTTTAAAATAACACTTAATAGAAAGATTAGAGGCAGCAGGCTCCAATTAAGTATAAAGTCAAACCTCAAAACAATGGCCACTGAGGGGAGCATTAAAAATGCCAGTGGTTTGAAGGTTATTTTTTATGTATTTTTATTTAAATCAGTTCATCTCGATAGTCCGTTCGACTATATAATATATATATATATATATTTAAAAAAAATGTATTTTATTCAGTAAATTTTAAAAATTTCATTGAAGAAACAGAATATTTTATGACCACAACATTGATTTTGGTTATTTAATATTGGATGATGCAAATAAACAATTAGGAATGACCAAGACATTTTAAAAATTCAGTTAAAGTATTAAAAACAAATAAAATTTACCTTTAGAAACTTGTAATATTGGAGTAAAGGAAGAGAAATGAAATTTGCCATCTTTTTTTTTTTATAAAGGGGATGTTCACTTGGTTGATCATCTCTTCTGTTGTCATAGATACAGATAAAACAAACCGGGCTAATTACTTTTAACCTATTTTTTTTATAGTTTAATGAATGCTAAAAATCAAATATCGATACAATTTTTTACCTTTACATTTCATACTTTTGGGTATTTAAAATATAATATTTGCAAAAATAAAAATAATGTAGAAAAGTTATAATAAATTTTGTATGTATTTTGGCTAATAAAATATAAATTAATCGACCAATAAATATTTTCTGTTGTAAAATTCGATTTTATTGTTCTATTTTTTATGAATTTAAATTAATTCTGTGAAGATCAACTCAATATTTCCTTCATTATTCCTTATACAATAATGATTTCTGTAAGTTTTAATATCTAAATTTCACCTAAAATAATCTGTTGAATGTTATATTTTTTTTATTTAGGTTCTTTACAGCAAACATATCTTTGCAGTCATTTTTCTATTTTTCTTTTGTTTAAGTGAAATTAGGCTATCCGGCGCTGGAGCGGAGGATACCAATTTTCGGGTTAGGTTCATTGTAAAGCATGTTTCTCCCATTTAAAATATATATTTTATAAAATAATTAAATAATTAAACAGGTTAAATCTGGCTCTAAAAAAAGAGATTTGTCTCGAAGCGTAAGGGAGCAACATTATTTGTCATATTTGTCACAAATGCTCAAAAGCAAATTAGAAGAGAATCCAATACTAATTGAAAATGAGCTAAAATCAAACATCAATGATGAATATGCTGTTTTAAAAGCACCTGTAGCCCAAAAAAATCATGATTCTCAAACATTTGACACTGAAGATCACCCAGAATTCATCAAAGAATCCGAGTTTGACGTGAAAAAAAAGCAGAGATCTGTCCTTAATCCGCTAATAAATGTCGGATCAAAGTTGAAGAATGAAGCAAATATTATTAGAGAGCCGAAACATTCAGAAAAATTCAATATAAATAATAATTACAACACGGGAGAGAGTCAAAATGATCGATCAAAGGATGGTTCTGGCTTTTCTCCAAAGAGAATTGATCAAAACTGGAAATCTCACAAGGAAAAATTACCAGAAATTCAATATCCTTTATCTAACTTATTCAGAAGTAAAGTTGTTAATAATAAGAATAAATATAATATAGAAAAAAATGGAGAAAATGTAAAAAGTTTGTTTACAGCAGAAAAAGGCTTTGACGACGCTACTGACGATGAGAAAACAAACGAGATCAGGAAGGAAGTGGAAAAAATCTTCCAGATCTCGTTAAATTAATTTATACAATTAAATATTCTATTTTATTCTTAAGAAAATTATCATAAACATTTTGAACTTTCAATTTTTTAATGAAAAAAAATCTATAATTCTATATAATTATTTAAATTCTTTTATCAAAAAGATAATTCTGTAAGTTTGAATAAAAATTTTGAATTTAATAGCGTAAGAAAAATTAATTAATTAACGAATATGATACAGATTGTAATTTATTCGTATGAAAAAAATATTGTCAAGAAGTAATAATAATAATAAACACATTTTTCTTTAAAAAAAACATAAATATTTATTAAAAACTACCTTAACAAATTAAAGAACTTTCATTTTTTCTTAAACTTCAAGCTGCGTGAATTTGCTTTAAAGTGGGGAGGTAAACTGGCCTTAAAGAACAGATTTTTACCATCCAATATTTCGGGAATGACTAGGTTTTTTAAGTGTAAATGCATTGGCACATAACGCGCTTTGCTCTGCTGAATGCCCAGTCTTCTCAACATGCTGTCGGGAAGTCTCTAGAAAAAAAAAAAAATATTTAACTTCAATTCAACAATATAAAAATATTTTATATTATTTTAAAAGTTCTCATTATATTTAAAATAATATTAATTGTTTAAGTGTAACTATGTAATTAATAACTCAATATTGTATTTATTATTATATGTGTACTGTTTTGCTGCTCGACCTTCGCCGAGTACCGTAGAAGAATCTTAGAAACCGTAGAAAGAGTGCACGTTACACTTGCGTACGTGCTTACAATTAGATAAAAAAGTAAAGGATTAGCAGACCAATAAAGTAATAAATTGGTACAGTGCAAAAGAAAGAAAGGATGAGCAAGAGAGAGAATGAATGAATGAATGTTTAAAATAGAATAATTCTTTGTAAAATTACATGTTACTCTATTCTGATTTTTTCCAATTTTGAGATTTACATTTTACATAACTGCAAATTTACATAAGTTGCATGTTACGTAACTCGGGGTATTAGCGTATTCTAAAATCTAAATTCAATTCTTGTAAGAGACAGAATGTAGTGTACTAATTTAATTTAAGTAACTTCAAAACTCACATTTTTATTTTTTTATAATTTAATTACATCCTTCTTTGATGTCTTAACCTTATTATGGTGAAGGGGGTTGAGTGAAACCAATGACCCAGAGTTATAATGATGGTAGTACACTACCAGCAGAGCATCCCAAGTTGGATAGGTAAGAGAGTAGGTGCTAGACTTAAAACTTGGTCCTCGAGGTTGGACTTTATAGAGAGAGAGATTTTATTTAAAAAATAACTTTTATATTATTAATATTTTATAAAATGGCAAAAAGCTTCATTTTGATGGCATGGATAAGTTTTATAAAAATTTGTAAATGCTAACGACGAGCAAAATCTTCATTAAATCCTATTAATAACTCCCAAATGATCGTAAATTATATTATTCAGATAGAGGAATAACTAATAATAATGTCCTATAAATCAAGTGATAAATGAACCAGCAAAAAACTTTATTATTTTAATCCTTCACATGTCCATTTCAAGTAGTGTTTTATTGGAGTACACGACAGTTGAATGACAGTCAAAACTGGGTGATAATCAAGTAGGCGACAGTTAACTAGGTAACAGAAACTTAAATAAGCAAGTAAAACAGCAAGGCCATATTTGGGACAAGACTATGTCTTGGATATACACTACTAAGTGGGATCATTTCAATGCTGATGGCAGGTCTTGTTCTCATTCTCCAATCTTTTTTGGTATCACTGGTTCTGAGCGTGATCGTTCAAACTTTGCCGGCCATGACCACAAGATTGTCTACGATGCATTTTCGGTGAAATTAACCTATCCAATGTCGAAATTTCTCTCCATTGTGTGTCACCCCGGGTTGAATTTTTATCGATGCCTAATAAGAATTTTCCTGTTTTGAAAAATGTAATCGTAGCTATTGTATTGTCTGAAATTATTTTTTTATTTTTCACAAACAAAATAAATATATTAATAAATGTAAAAACAAAAAAAATTATATTTCAGAAGTTAGTTTTAATATGAAAATAATATAAAATTATAATGACTAGTGCCATCTATTTTCAAAACGCACAACGTTTACATTTCCAACTTCCCAAGAAGCATCACATGCATAAATCTCGCACTAGTGCCTGTTTGTAGAGTGTCACCATTTTGTATTTTATTTTGACTTGGTTCTCGGTTCCCTGAGTACCTACAAGCCTGGTTTTTTTTGTGTGCGCATGATTTGGGCATCTAATACTCTGCCAAATTGCAACTCCCAACATGTACTCCTTCATACCTCTAAGCTGGTAAGCTACAATTTTATAAACAAGACATAGTCTTGTCAATAAAACTATGATTAAGACATATGAGTGTGAGAACCTGGGCTAAATAAAAAAATTTCTGTTAATTTACGGTTTTGGTTTGTTCGAGTTATGGCAATGTAACACTTGGGCGATCTGCTTAGGGGGATGCCTTCTGGGAGGTCTTTTTAAGGGAAACTAGCCCCTATTTAGGCATTACAGTCATGGAGAAAACCTGGAAAACTCCATGTGGCCAACTCGTCGGAGCAAGACCTGAACCCACGACCGAACTCCCAGTGTTCAGGGTACGAAGACCGCTTGGCCACTGGTGGGCTCTTCTGTTTAATTTACAAAAAACATTTTTTTTTTTTTTTTGCTAAAATTATTTCTCTCACAAGAGCAGGAAGTGATGCCCTTTTCCCACAGACTTTCTTCCTTGCCCAGAAATGACACATTTCCTGACTGACTGTATTGGGAACATAACAAAAAATTGTTATTGGTCTAAGTCAGGGGTGTCAAACTGGCGGCCCCGATGTGATTTTTCGTGACCTGCAGCCACAATAAAATACATTGAGAGAAAATCACAGATCAAGATTAACTGATAAACATCTATTTGCCATAATGAAGATTGTTTCAGTCTTTGAATCCAGATATTAGAAAACTAAGAAGATGAAGACAGCACTGGCAAGTTTCTGGTGAAAACAATTAATTTTAGTTTTATAAATATATACATTAAATA